CTTAACCAAGGTGGTGAAAGTCCTATACTTGGAAAACTACAGGATGATGAAAAAAGATATAAACAAATGGAAGAAAATACTATGTTCATGGATTGGTAGAATCAACATCATTAAAATGTCTTTACTACCCAAAGCAATCTATAGATTTAATTCAATCCCTATTAAAATGCCAAACGTGGATAGGGAGATCTGGGGGAGATAAGAGATCAACCGAAGGATTTGTATACATGCATATAAGTACAACCAATGGACACAAAACTCTGGGGAGGAAGGGTATGTATGGGAGGGGGGGACAATGTTAAAATATGTACATAGATAATAATTTAATAAAAAATTAAATTAAATTAAATTAAAAATAAATAAATAAAATAAAATGCCAAACGCATATTTCTCAGATCTAGAACTCCAAAAAATTTATATGAGACCAAAAAAGACCCCAAATAGCCACAGCAATTTTGAGAAAGAAGAACAAAGTTGGAGGGTTCACAATACCAGATAACAAGTTATACTACAAACCCACTGGTACTGTCACAAGAACAGGTATATAGATCAATGTAACAGTACAGAGACCCCAGAAACTGACCCAAGCTTCAATTAATATTTGACAAACAAGGCAAGATCATACTCCATAGAATGGACTCTAATAAATGGTATTGGAAAAACTGGATAGCTACATGCAAAAACTGAAACTAGATCAGGAACTTACACCACGCACCAAAATAAACTCGAAATGGACAAAAGACCTTCTGGATTTTTTATTGTTACAAGGCACAAGTTTTAATCACACTACTAATTTGTTTCTTTTATAATTTGTTTCTTTAATTTCTGCATCAGTGCCCTCCAGATAAAAGAACAATACTTATTGAAAGTATTGCATGAACTATTATAAGGTTCATAATTATTTTCAGTTTTCATTGTATTCTTATAGTTAATAGCAAGTGCAAAAATAAATAAATTATTACCTTCATAGATTATAATTTGTTCATTCTCAAGTGCTATAAACTAAATAAAAATACTAAAATATTCAGAAAACAACCTTATAAGCAGAATTCTATATATTAAAAGGCAAATATACAAATAGATTGAACAACAGAACACCCGAACAACTGGTTGCTATGACGTGTGCTCACCATCATGGAGTTGGCCATGGCAGGATGGTGGAGCAGGTGAGCAGGGCACCAGACCAAGGCGGAGAGCTATTCTCTGGGGCAAGCCGCTGGTGGTTACTCAAAATTCTTTGCTCCCACATGCTGTGGTCCAGCCTGGCACTCACACCTGCTGCTCACACCCGCTGCCAGCACTTGGTGCTGTCAGCGGGTGTGAGCAACAGCTGCTGGCCCTGATCGCCCCTGAGGGCTTCTCCCCCTCCCCCTGTTCCTGTGGCATGATTGGAGCAGGCAACCTGCTCACACCTACTGACCACACTGGTCCTGCTCACACCCACTGCTGGTGCCGGCCCCAATAACTCTGCACCATATTCGGGTGGGAGCAGTGGCAGAGGGAGTGGGGCTTCTATCAGACAGGGCTCAGGGGTCACAGAAGGAGGGGCCAGGTGGAGGTGCAGAGGATGAGTCAAGACCCGCTCTGTGCCCACAGCAGCCTTAGAGCCCACAGTTCCTTTCAAGGTGCACAAATTTGTGCATTAGGTCCCCAGTATTGCTTATAAGAAATAATGAATAGAAATGCTTAGAAAAACTGAAAACTCAAATAAATTTCATTAACTCTCTAGATTCACAAAAATTCTGCTAGAATTTATAGGTATAGAAATATACCAATATTGCTTTAAGGCTTACTCCTTTTTTATGTCTTTCAATCATACTTTGAACACAATATTTTTATTCAATCACTAGAGGCCTGCTGCATGAAATTTGGGGGGTAGGGGTGCAGGAGAAGGGGGCTCAGCCCAGCCTGCATCCTCTATAATCAGGGATCCCTCAAGGGACCTGATGTCCCTCTCACAATCTAGGACTGCTGGCTCCCAAACACTTACCTGCCTGCCTTCCTGATTGTCCCTAACCAATTCTGCCTGCAAGCCTGATCACCCCCTAAACACTTCTGGGCCAGCCTGATTGATGCCTAACTGTTCCCTGTCAGCCTGAATGTCTCTAACTGCCCTTCGCTGCAGGCCTGGTCCTCCACAACTGCTATTCCCTGCAGGCCTGGGTCCCTCCCAACTACCCTTCCCTATAGGCCTGGTCGCCCCTAACTGCCCTCCCCTGCAGGCTTGATTGCCACCAACTGCCCACCCTTGCAGGCCTGGTCCACCCCAACTTCCCTCCCCTGCTGGCCTTATTGCCCACAACTGCCCTCTCCTGCTGGCCTGATCCATCCCCAAATGGTATCTTGTGTCCACATGAAGGCATCCATCTTTGACCACATGGAGGCAGCCATCTTCTGTGTTGAAGTGATGGTCAATATGCCTATTAATATTTTATTAGATGGGATAGAAGCCTGGTGCATGGGTAGGGGCCAGCTGGCTTTCCCTGAAGGGTGTTCTGTATCAAGGTGGGGGTTCCCTTGGGGTTTGGGGTGGCCTGGGCGAGGGGCATGTGGTGGTTTGCAGGCCAGCCACATCTCCCGGTGACCCAAGTGGAAGCCCTGGTATCTACCGTGTTTCCCCGAAAATAAGACATCCTCTGAAAATAAGACCTAGCGCAACTTTGGGAGAAAAAAATTAATATAAGACATTGTCTTATTTTTGGGGAAACAGGGTACGACTTATTTATCTTCTATAATTGAAACTTTTATCCTTGAGAGGAGTCCTGGGTTGACCATGGTGTGCAGGAAGCTTGGCTTCCTCTATTGCCGGGGAAACCCAAGCCAACTGCTTGCTCTCTGGCTGCAGCCATTTTCGTTGGGATTTATTTATCTCCTATAATTAAAACTTTGTAGCCTTGAGGGGAATCTAGGGCTGGCCAGGGTGTGCAGGAAGTTTGGCTTCGTCCATTAGCAGGGAAACCCAAGCCTCCCATTTGCTCCTTGGCCACAGCCATCTTGTTTGAGTTAATTTGCATACTCACTTCTAATTGGCTGGTAGGTGTGGCTTGGGGTGTAGCAGAGGAGTGGTCAATTTGCAAATTACTCATTTATTATATAGGATTGTCTCTATTTCTGACATTTTCAATCTTTTATAATTTAAAATTTGTTTCCTTCAGTTTAAAAATATGTTGAAGTTAGCATCATCTCACATAAAAAGATATATTAATCCTATCTCCTATAGTTAACATTATCTTTGTCCCAAATTTTTCTCAAAAAAGGTTCTATACTTGGCATTATAATTTCAAATTCATCCCTGCAAGTTATTGAAATTCCAAAGATGCAACCTTCTCACCATCAAAAAGTCTTTCAAATTGTTTTGTATCACTGATAATTTTCCTTGGCCATTTAAACATTCTTCATTTTTTAAGATGGTGGTGACCACAGCCAGTTAGGAGGGAATATGCTAATTGACTGCCACACCCTCAAAGATGGTGGTGTCCAGTCCTCTCAGCCTCCCTGGGGCAATAGGCACGGCAAGGCCGGGCCCACTCTTTGGCAGGCCCAGCTGCTCTGTGTACCTGCCTCAGGAGTTCCCCAGTCCTCTCAGCTCCCAGCCACCCAGGGCTGGCTCAAGGTGCAAGCAAACCTTAAATAGTGGCTGCCCAACTGCCCAGGGCCACCCGAGGCTCAGGTAACCAGGGTCAGCTGAGGCTTGCACTGTCAGCAGTGGCAGTAGCAGAGGTGTGATGGGGGCTTCACCTTTCCCTGATTGCCAAGTTGCCTTCCACCTCTGAGGGCTCCCAGACTATGAGAGGGGACAGGCTGGGCTGAGGGACCCCCACTCCAGTGCATAAATTTTCATGCACCAGGCCTCTAGTAATAAAATATTACTCGGCAATCAAAAGGCACAAACTACTGATTCATGTTACATTAATGAGCCTCAAACCCATTACAATAGGTGAAAAATGGCAGATATAAACAACTACTTATAATATGATTCTGAAAGATATTTTAGAGCTAGGACAGCGTGTCTTAGGAGATAAGAGAAGGTACATGGGAGAGGAATGCATAGATGAAGGCTTGCAAATGCCATGAGGCTTATCTTATAGAGAATAGAGGAAAGTTGCAAGATAAAGCTGAGAAGAAGATAGGGGCACCAAGTGGGCTTTGAATTTTGAAACTGATACTATGTAGCAGAGTGAGCAATGAGGAAAGCAAGGGGGTCCTAAATCAAGGAAGGTAAAGAACTACAGCATATATAAATCAGAGTCAAAGGAACACGGGGCAGATATTAGACTATGATTTTTGGATTTCTATTTTTCCTATTAGAGAACGAGAGAGCAGACTTTCCCCATTGGGGGGCCCTGCTCTCAGGTGAAGTTTGTATATGCTTCCAATAAACTTCTACATTTTTATTAAAGGAGCCTTTAGTCCACGAGTTTATTCTTCAAACTTTGTTGACAAGGGCTCACGAGAAGAAATATGCACCTCACACCCCACGTTTTACTTCCTTTACATTAAATGTTTAGAAAAGGAAACAGATCAGTGTTACCTAGGGCTGGGGGTTGAAGTAGGGATTACCTGCAAATGGGTAAAAACATTTTGGAATGGTAAAAGTTTTCCGACATTGAATTTTGGAGATGGTTATATAACACTGTTAATTTACTAAAATCATTGAATCACATATGTAAAATAAGGGAATTTTGTAAGTATATATAGTAAATATATATATATATATATATATATATATATCTTACATATATACTAAAAGCTATTAAAATATAATGGAGACATTATATTTGTTTCTCTACAATTTGGAACTTTCTGCTCAACAATTTTTATGCAGTAAACAGACAAGCTTTTTAATAAAGTCACATATAACACATTACTAATGTGTCACTAGTATATGATATTTTATATAAATGTTGCAAAGTATTAGTTTTTTATAATTTAGATTTGGAGCTTAGAAGCTAAAATTTCATTTTTATAAATTTAAGATAAACCATAAAGAAACCATTTACCTTTTTCAAAGTAGGGCAGAAATTAAAGAAAAGCCGATGGTTATATGTTTTAAATCTTTCAGGAAGATGAAAGTTCTGAAATATTTCTTCATCAGAAATTACATGATGATCCAATGCCTTGAGAGACCATATACTGTTGACAAGAACATGTCTATATCCTTTTTTAAGGCTTACGGGGCAATCAAACATAGTGAGGGCAATGAGGCTTGGACAGGCAGATAACATGCATACATTCTTTAACTTTGCAAACCCGTTGTCATGAAGATAGAGAAGTTTTAAATTTTTTAATCTACTCCAAAAATTGACATCTGGTAGACTCTTTACCTGAAATATTATTAATAATAGTGCTTTAAACACATATATAAAATTTATTTCAATTGCTTGGAAAATGAAATATATTAAACATATTCTAAAATTATTTTCCCAAATTGAAACTTTATCATTAGTAAATAAAAACAGAACTTCTAATTATCCAAATGATGACTAGTTTAAAAAAATAATATGCTGGATGTCTTAAGTAACTATCTTTATTAATATAATTGAATTAATAAGCATACATACCTCATCCAGTAAAAATGCCTTTGTAATATGCTGACACTTTAAATCTCTCTAAAAATACTTTCTTTACAAAAAGAATTGAAAATTAAAATCAAACATGTGACAACATTACACTAATTAAAGATAAAAATTATATGATCCTTTCAATAGAGGCAGAAAAAAGTTTTTGACAACTTCTATGTCCACTGATGATACTGACAAACTCACAGGTAGATAGCATGTTGAGATATGTTTGGGGCTAGGGGATAAAGGGATTGAGAAAAAAAGAAGAAGAAACTCATAGAGAGGGACAATAGTGTGATTAATTGGAGGAGGGGAAAAGATGGAGGAGTATATAGGGGAGGTAAATGGTGATGGAAAAGGACTTGATGTGCGGTAGTGAACACACAATACAGTATACATATGAAGTCTGGTAGAACTGTGCACCTGAAACCTGTATAATTTTATTAAACAGTGTCACCCCAATAAATTCAATAAAAATAAAAAAAAATCTGAAAAAAATATTTGTTTTTTGTATTTTCATACACTAATAACAAACTATCTGAAAGAGGAATCCAGAAAGTTCCATTTGTAATTGCACCTAGGAATATTTTAACCAAGAAGGTCAAATACCTATGTACACTGAAAATTTCAAGACATTATAAACATATTAGAGGCCCAGTGCACAAAATTCATTTACGGGGGGGGGGGGGGGGGGAGAGGGGAGGAGGGGAAGGAAGGGGGGAGAGGGGGTGTCCCTTGGCCCAGTCTGCACCCTCTCCAATCTGGGACCCTTTGAGGAATGTCCGACTACCTGTTTAAGCCTGATCCTGCGATCCTGGTAGGATTGGGCCTAAAGGGGCAAACATCACTCTCAAAATCCAGGACTGCTGGCTCTGAACTGGTCACCTGCCTGCCTTCCTGATTGCCCCTAACTGCTTCTGCCTGCCAGCCTGATTAACCCTAACCACTCCTCTGCCATCCTAATTGATGTCTAACTGCTCCCCTACCAGCCTGTTTGCCCCAACTTCCTTCCTCTACCGGCCTGGTCACCCCAAACTGCCCTCCTTTGCAGGCCTGATCCCTCCCAACTATCCTTCCCTGCTGGCCATCTTGTGGTGACCATCTTGTGTCCACATGAGGGTATCCATCTTTGACCACATGGAAACAGCCATCTTGTTTGTTGGAGTGATGATCAATGTGCACATTACTCTTTTATTAGATAGGATAGAAGCCTGGTACATGGGTGGGGGCCAGCTGGTTTTCCCTGAAGGGTGTCCCACATCAGGGTGGAGGTTCCCTTGGAGTGTGGAGCAGCCTGGGTGAGGGGCCTGTGGTGGTTCACAGGCCAGCCACACCCCCTGGTGACCCAAGCAGAGGCCTTGGTATCTGGGATTTATTTATCTTCTACAATTGAAAATTTGTAGCATGTAGTAGAACCAAGCCTTCTGCTTGCTCTGTGGCAGCAGCCATTTTTGTTGGGATTTATTTATGTTCTATAATTGAAACTTTGTAGCCTTAAGTGGAGGCCTGAACTGGCTAGGGTATGCGGGAAGCTTGGCTTCCTCCATCACTGAGGAAATCCAAGCCTCCCTCCTGCTCTCTCCCTGGATGTAGCCATCTTGGTTGGGTTAATTTGCATAGTCACTCCTGATTGGCTGATGGGCATGACTTGTGGGTGTAGTTGAGTGATGGTTAATTTGCATATTACTCTTTTATTAAGTAGGATTGAAGAAGACACACATAAGTAAAAATATATTTTATGTCCAAGGACTGGGAGAATATTATTAAGAATACCCAAAGTATTATACAGATGCCATGTAATCCCTTTCAAAAATTTCAGTGGCACTGTTCACAGAAATAAAACAAGCAATCCTAAAATCTGAATGGAGCCTGAATAGAGAAGAACAAAGGGGGAGGCAATAGGTTCCCTGATTTCAAACTACATAATAAAGGATTAGTAATGAAACAATATGTTACGAGTGTAAAAACAGGCACACAGTTCAATGGCACAGAATAAAGAGCTCACAAATAAATGCACAAAAGTCAACTGATTTGCAACAAAAATAGCAAAGAAAATACAATGGTCAGGAAAGGACAGTTCTTCAATAAATAATGTTGGAAAAAGTGGATAGACACATGGCAAATAATAAAACTGGACTGCCATTTTGTGCCATATACAAAAATCAACTGAAAATGGATTAAAGATTTGAAGGTAGAACCTCGAACCATAAAAATCGTAGCAGAGCCGAAACCAATTTGGCTCAGTGGTAGAGCGTTGGCCTTTGGACTGAAAGGTCCCAAGTTCGATTCCGGTCAGGGGCATGTACCTTGGTTGCAGGCACATCCCCGGTAGGAGGTGTGCAAGAGGCAGCTGGTCCATGTTTCTCTCTCATCAATGTTTCTAGCTCTCTATCCTTCTCCCTTCCTCTCTGTAAAAAATCAATAAAATATATATTTTTTAAAAGTTTAAAAAAATCGTAGCAGAAAACATAGACTATGAGCTCTTTAATGTCAGTCTTAGTCATGTTAGTGATACTTTTTTTTTTAAATCTGAAACCAAGACAAAGGCAACAAAAGCAAAAATAAACAAATGAGACTAAATAAAAATTAAAAACTTCTGCATTACAAAGGATACTATCACTGAAATGAAATGACAATCAACCAAAAGGAAGAAAATATTTGCAAATCTGATTTGTAACCATGTGGTGATGGACATTAAATAGAGTATTATGGTGATCATTTCACAATATGAACAAAGTTTGAATCACTGTTTTGCACCCCTAAAATTAATATAATGTTACACATCAGTTAAATGTCATTTAAAAAAATAACTAAGGGTCAAGAAGTATTCCCAATCCAGACTATGTTTTTAAGAAGTAAACTAAATCAGTTTATTTTATATGCTTTTAAATTAAAATTTTTGCTTATATTTAAATTTTTACATTTCTACATTTCATATTTTTATTTATGTCATATAAAAGACTATCTGGGAAACATAGTGTGGGTCAATAATGCTTTTTAAATATAATTTCATGTATCTGAAAATAACTGCAATGGCTATTGCTTACCTGATTTCCATGGAGATCAAGTTTGACTAATTTTATACAATATTGAAGTGGACTAATATTGGTAATAAAATTGTTTGAGAAGATGCATACTGTAAGAGAGATACAATATTTCAAACCTTCTATAGATTTTAAATGAAGACCAGTGAACTTCACAAAAACAAGATCTTTCTGATCTTCTACTATGTTTTCATGATAGTGACTCCATTCTTCATGACTGGTTAGCTCTTTTGAGAAAGTTGCATGAAACATCTAGAAAAAAAAGATAAACTCCTTTGAAAATGTTTTTTCTACTTTCAAAAAATCCATTTATAATAATAAAAGAATAATATGCTAATTAGACTGGACCTCCTTACTTCCAGACAAAGCCACAGTGGGCAAAGGCTGACGCTAAGGTGGCAGAGGCCCCTCGCCGCAACGGCAGCAGGTGGGGGTACAGGCCAAGGACCTTGCACAAATTTCATGCATCATGCCTCTAGTATGAAAATAAAAAACATTTACTAATAATGATAATAAAAATGGATAGAAACTAAGTTAATTTTTGTAAAAAAAAATCTGATTCCCATAAAATCTATCTTAAAGCATCTTAAATGTCTAACATTTATATAACTACAACTCAAAACTGTATTTTTCTCTCATCTATAAATTAACCAGTGAGAGGAAGAGAAACTTTCTTATTCTTAAAATACTTAAGAGAAAATGAAATTCAGTAAAATAGTTGATATGAAAACATCAACTATTGGCAAGACAACTAAAACAAACAACGGAAACTATATCTTAGCAGACATTGTAGAATGGTTTTTGCTAAAAGGTATTTTAAATAAATAAATTATTTGAATTATGAACTCCTAGTTCAGGAAAGTGGTATTTTTTTGGGGGAAGGGCTAAAAAATGAACTTAAGGTGCAATGCAGTTTCAACTGTTATATTTATTTTCTAAAGAGATAATTAGCAATTACATTATACAGGGTGGAGCAAAAGCAGGTTACAATTGTTCATATGAAAAAGGCAATAAATAATAAATAATAACACAACAAACTCTGGGCTTCATTTTCTAACAACTGTAAACCCACTTTTGCCCCACTCTGTATTTATGTTTAATTATATTAGTCAATTAAGATCTATAATTCTAATAGTTTCAAGTCTAAGTTTATCTAAAACTTCTGGATTAGAGCTTTCTTTAAAAAGTATGTTTTTATTGACTTATTTTTAGGGAGAGAGAGATAAAACATCAATGAGAGAGAAACAACCATAGGCTACCTCCTGCATGTCCCCTACTGGGGATCAAACCAATATGGAGCATATGCTCTGACCAGGAATTGAACCAGCGACCTCTCGGTGGATGGGTTGACGCTCAAGCATTGAACCACACCACACCATTTGGGTTGGATCAGAGCTTTCTGTGCAATTTTATAAAGTATTTCTCACATATATAAAATTTCTCTTATTATGGGTAATTTCAGCTTTTATAAAAGGCAGGCACACAGTGATAGCTTAAAAGAGAATATATAGGCTGAAGTGGCCCATATGAAAGTGTTTGGTTGAGAGTAACTCCCTTATTCACTGGAAGCATCTATTTCTACTATATGGAGGTCAACTGGGTTAGCATAATTCAAATAAGAATAAATATGAAAATCCAGACAAACCCTTGCAACTCTAAAAGACTGACTGCTTTTTATATCTTAGCCAAGGCCTAAAACCATAATCCTCAAATTCTAAATATCAAACACCTAAAAAATTAACAAAGAGGCAGATTCCCTGGGCCACATATAATATCTATATTATCAGAATCTCTGGGCTCTGAGCCAAAACATTTATATTCCCTCATGCCCCACTACACACAGTTTCTCCCCTGTTAACAGACTGCATTAGTGTGGTACAACTGTTACAAGAAACACAATTTTAATGCACTATTATTTTTTAAAAATTAAAGTTATTTTAGTTCATATACTCATAATAAAACCTTTGGATGACCAACACACATCAGCCAGCATGAACTGAACAAGCCATGACATGTACTCCATGCTCTGTAATCCTGGACCCTCTTCATTTGGCTTAAGTTTCTTCTTTAAAAAAAGTAAAAGTAAAATGTTAATGTGAAGAAAAATGTGCTTCTCTACAACTTCCAAACAAATTGTTATGCAATGAGTAATAAAAACAACCTAACTTCCACTAACTGTAAATGGGCACAAAGAATCTTACTGCAATGACCAAAATGTCATTAACCTAGATTGTGGTGACCGTTGCACAACTCAGTTAATTTACACACACACACACACACACACACACACACACACACATTACATTGTTCAGTTATAATTGGTGAAGGAAGTTAATGGTATATAGAGTATACTTCAACAATTTATTCACTCTTTTTTTATGGTATTCCTCCCATAGAAAAAAAGCCCAAATGCCTCCACAAAAATATAATTTTTCAACTTACTATAGTTTATTTTGTCCAATGTCCCAATTAAAATGTAGAATATAAAATTAAATGCATAATTTCCATTATATTTTACTGGTACAGAATAATGGATTTACTAAGCTGCACTGATTTATTTTATCTAGTTATTGTAGCTTATGACTGTTTAAACAATCATATCACACTATTTGATTATAATAAATATAAACTGAAATAAAAATCCCTAGACTTTTTCACACTCTACAATGAACTGCTGAGGAAATTTAATCTCACTAATATAGTACACAATATTTTTTATATTTAATTTAAAAACTAATAAATAAAAAAAATTGAGAAAAACAGAAGAGAGGAAAATTCAAAACCATACCTGACAATGTATATAATTATTTCCAGCACATTTTATTTAATGTAATTATGCCAAGAAAAGTTAAAATTCATTTTATGGCTATCCTTCCAAGATCTAAGAAATGTTGCATTTAATACTCTGTGACAGACTTTATTACGTCACCCCCTTTTAGTTACCTCACAGTTCTTATCACTATCTGAAATTTTCTTTTTTGGTTAATTTTTCATTGTTTACCTCTATTACGTACAGTTCCTGAACATACAGTCTCTATTGATCTGTCTTCTCTTGAGATCTCATCTAATGCCACAGTTTAAAATTAATTCCATCTATATGCTGACAACTCCCAAATTTATATATCTAACCCAGACCTTTTTCATGAAGTCCATATCCTATGTATAATGCACAAACATACACACACACACATTCACACATACACAATAGTTTCATTTGCAATACATCCTTTTACATTTGTTTACTCTTTATGTCCAAAACTAAATTCTGGACTCTCCCTACCACCCTAAAACATTCTCCATACATAGGCATTCCCATCTCAATTGATGGCCATTCTATCATTCAGGCATCCTTGACTTCTCTCTCTCTTGCATTCCACAGCTATTCCATTAGCAAATCATAATGATTTGCCTTCAAAATATAGCTAACCAATTTCTCATCAGCCCCACTGTTATCATTCTGACCAAGATTCACCAAGCCTTACCTGTATTGTTGCAATAGCCAAAAACAAACAAAAAAACAAAAACAAGCCTCCTACCTTCTATCTTTAACTCCACACTCCAATAGCTTATTTTCACATTATATTTAAATATAAGGCAAGTCACATCAAAACTCTGTAATGCCTTTTTCATTCGGTAAAAAAACAAATCATTCTTTGGGCTTCTGTCGCCCTCTGACCTCCTCTTTTGCTACTTTTCCCCCATTGCTTATTCTCACCTCACCCAAGTCCTCCGTATTTTCTAAATGTTCCTAATAAGAACATATTGTTTTTGATAACAAACAAACAACCAAACAAAACTATCATAAGCGATAAAAGTATAAAGGCGTAATCTCCCTTTTTAGTCAAACATTTTCTTTGTAAGAACAGAAATAATTAACAGGGTCAAGTCTTTAGAAGGAAAAACAAGTTCACAGCAAGAGCTTGAAGGGCCTTGAATGCCTGTAGTCCTGATAAAGACATCAGTGAAGACAGGCCTCTGCAGTAAATCAAACTGCATGGTGTGGTGGAATGATGTCTGCATTCAGTATTGAAACACCTTGCTCAAACCTCTCACTAACTGTGAGACCTAGACTAAGTCACCATTCTCTCTGATTCATAGCTCCCTGATGATGCATAAAGATGACAAAACTAACCTACAAAATTCATTATAGACCCAGTTCTTTGCCAGGGAAATCCTTACAACATTAACCCACCAAAAACACATCTAATGAGGCTGATTCATAACCAGGAATGCTACTGAAAGTTCTTGATCAATCTGCCTATACAAAAGGATGGCTGAGCATGAACCAAAACAGCACCCATGGTCAGGGCCTGGTGGCAGAATAAGAGACGTAACAACTTCTGAAAAACTATGAACTCAACACGGAGAGGGTGGATCCTGGACCTCGCGAAGGCAAGGAAGCCACACACCTGAAGGGAACACAGGTTGGGGCCGAAGGCTTCCTATGAAGCCCAGAGGGGGGAGTTAACTATCCAGAGGTTCTGGGGAGCTGCTCCCGAAGGAAACAAACCAGGAGTCAGAAAACACCATCGCCTCCAGAGACACAGCTGGAAGCTTAGGGTGTCCTTTCCTCTTCTTAGCGGGTCGGTGGCAGCAATCTGGCCGCCCAACCTGTCCCACTCACCGGGTCAACCGGGCTGCGAGGCCCTTTTTATATATAGTTTGGGAACTCGTGGCCAGACCCTCCCCAGACTGAGAAATCGCTAGGGGGCCATCAGCCCCGGAGACCGTCGCTAAGGAAACGGGGCCAGGTTCCCGGATCAGCCAGTCGTCGTTTCCCCTGGGACCAGCCCCAGACCTCCGGGGGCGTGGTTACGTGAGTGACGCACGGAAGGGGCGGGGCCAGACCCAGCGGGACCCGGCGCGGAGGACCGTCCTGGGCGCATGCGCGCTGTGTGAAGCCGCGGGCTACCTGGAAGGTGAAAACTGGCGGCGGCCGAGGTGGGGCTATGGCCGGTGCCAATGACCCTCCCGGCATATCTCTGCGAGAAGCCACCCAGCGAAAGTTGCGGAAGTTTTCGGAGCTGAGAGGTACCGGAGGAGGAAGCCCGGCCCTCCCGGGCAATAGAAAGAAAGGGAGGGTCCTGGACGCGCTGTGAAACTTGCTGGACGGTCACTTCCGGGATGGTTCTCTCGCACCTGTGGGCCCAGGACGTTTTATTGTCCCGCGCATAGCTAATAACACCTTGAATGTTTTATTCTTTTCTTTCTCTGTCCTCTCTTTACGTTATGCTTGTCACTTTCTTTAACTTCACTTCTAGTGTCTAGGTAGGTAGGAAGATACAGATATAGCTAGTGAAGCTATAAATTCAAGTTATGCATTTGGTTAGTTCATAAACACAAATTATTTACATAAATCTGAAATAGCTAAAACATAGTGTTTTGACCTTTACAAATGTGATTTTTTAGCCTTCTCCCACCTCCCTACCCACTTCACCAATTTGTTCCGTGATGTGAACGCTTACTGAGATTATATATATATATATATATATATATATATATATATATAAACACGGAGGGATTATTGATTATTAAAACGAGTGAAGGTGAATCAAAATGTTTGTGGTTTTTTTTTTTTTTTAAAGGCTATGTCACTTGTCATTCCTTGTACAACTGTAATAAAATTTCTTTTTTTATTTTTATGAAGTTGCTGCTTTAAAAATACAGGAAATAATACTAGGATGACAATAAAACGTTCAGAACTATTACATTCTAGGTGATAAGTCCTGTTTGTTAACTAATAAGAACAATTTTTATCTTTTTTTTTTTTTTCAATAAAAAGAAGCTTCCAGCTGTCTACCAAAAATTCAGTCTGTCTTTTAAAGAGTTCATCTGGGAGTTGGGAACTTTCCTATTATCCACAATTGTATATCATACTCCATTAGCCCTTGTAAAATTGAATGGCTCTTTTTAAGGTAGTACAAAATAAAGTATCCACATTTGTAAACAGCCACATTGTAGTAATGGATATTTGGGTTGAATCTTTCTTAGCCAAGGAACAGGAGTCCTAATAATATGAAAATTGATTCATTTATTTGTTCCTTTGTCTGGTTATTTAAGAATTGAGATAATCTTTAGAAAATCAGTAATACTCTTAATAGAATATCTAAATAAATGGGTCTGTAGATCATAAAAGAAGAAAGTAATCTAAAAGAGAAAAAACAATTTATGAACAATCCTCAGAATTATTTGAATCACACTACTACTTGCTTAATCTTCAAAAGCAAAAGATGCATTTATGAAGATGATGATATTACCTCTTTGTTTTCCCCTCTTTCCAAATAAGTAAACCTGTTACAGAATTCTGATAATATTTATCATTTCCTCGTTGTTTGTTCACATAGGCAAACCTGTGGCAGCTGGCGAGTTCTGGGACATTGTTGCAATAACAGCAGCTGATGAAAAACAAGAACTTGCTTATAAGCAACAGCTGTCAGAAAAGCTGAAAAAAAAGGAGTTACCCCTCGGAGTTCAATATCATGTTTTTGTTGATCCCGCTGGAGCCAAAATTGGTAAGCTTTTATGGTCAGATTTATATCATAGAGTCTAGGTAGAATAATCATTGAAGAAAAGTTTTCCTGTGTCTTGCAATTTATAAACTACATATCTTTCCACCATAGTCCTTACTAACTTTAGTTTTTATGTGAATTCACTAGTTTTTAAAAAACGATAAAAGTCATAGCAACTTTCGTGTGTGTGTATGTGTGTGTGTGTGTGTGTGTGTGGGGGGGGTTTTGTTCGTTTTTTTTTTTAAATCAATTTCAGGGAGGAAGGAAGAGGGAGAGAGAGATACAACAATTATGAGAGAGAATCATTGATTGGCTGCCTCCTGCTTGTCCCCTACTGGGGATGGAGCCTGCAACCCTGGGCATGTGCTCTAACCAGAAATGACGGGAATAGATTTACACTCAACTACTGAGCCATGCCTGCTGGGCAAAGCTTAGCAACTTTCTTATACATTGTGACTTACCATGAAAACTTCCCAAATGTTATATTATTGAAAAGATAATTGTATTAATTTTATTAAAATTTATACAGATGGTAAATAGTCTATTAGATCTTATCAGTCGGGTTCCTAAGATCCCTGCAAAATTTTCTTCAGAAATTTATGTAAGGAGATCAAAACAAGAAAAATATATACTACTTGACTTCTTGAGTCCACAATTGCAGAATGCAAAAGAGCATAGCCTAATGCAGTGGTTCTCAGCCTTTCTAATGCCTCGACCCTTTAATACAGTTCCTCATGTTGTGGTGACTCCCAACCATAAAATTATTTTCTTTGCTACTTTATATCTGTAGTTTTTCTATTGTTGGTCTTAGGCTCTACAGCAGCAGTTCCCAACCTGTGGGTCTTCTGATAATATTTATCATTTCCTTGTTGTTTGTTGTTTGTCTTGACCCACAGGTTGAGAACCGCTAACAGGGTTGCCTAAAACCATTGGAAAACACAGATATTTACATAACAGTAGCAAAATTACAGTTATGAAGTAGCAACAAAAATAATTTTATGGTTGGGGATCACCACAACATGAGTAACTGTATTAAAGGGTCGCAGCATTAAAAAGGTTGAGAACCACTGGTCTAATGGCTTATGTATCAGAGGTATTTACTTTAAAAATCTAATTTCCATAAAGTTTGCCATTTATCCTTTCATTGCATGCTATTTTTGTGGGGGCAGTTTTTCATGTAATGCTAAAACTGAAGCCCTTTTATACCAGAGATAGGTTATCTATATCTGACATAGGTATTGTTCTAATTAGCTGCGTTTTAATCCTCACAGCTAGCAGTCAGTACTATAGGATTCTCATTGTATAGATGAGATTTAGAGGCACAGAAAGTTAAGTAACTTGCCCAAGGTAATTAATAAGGAAACCAAATTCTAAAAAGCAAGTTTAACTTACATATTTGATTGTCATAAGGGAGAATTATTTAAATGGTTTTTGCAATTTGTCATTCCAAGTGAATTATATATATAATACTTACAGTATGTGTGTGTGTGTGTGTGTGTGTGTGTGTGTGTGTTTATAGTTTTCTGTGTTGTGGATTACCTATTTTATAATATCTTTATTGTGTATTAATATTTTTAGGAGAAGATTAGCTCATCATTTATTACTGGGGCTGATCTCTTGTTTTCATTGCTAATTATTTAATTGCTATAAAAGGTGTATTTAAATTGATTTTTTGGCCAATATTTTTGTTCTCTGCCTAGTTAATTATAGCCAACAAGCCGTTCTAATACCTAAAAGTTCTAATACCTAAATTTACCATACAAGATTTTAGTAAATTTATATGAAATAAATGTACATTTTTAATTTTATTTTTAAGGTAATGGAGGATCAACATTTTGTGCTCTTCAATACTTGGAAAAGCTATATGGAGATAAATGGAATTCTTTTACCATCCTATTAATTCACTCTGGTAAAATTATACTTTACTGATTTACTGATTTTACCTTTGATATCTTAGAACAGTGGTTCCTAACCTTTTTTTGGCCATGCCCTACCTAAGCATCTCTAAAATTCTATTACCCCTCCTCCTCCCCCCCACCCCCACCCCTATACCACCTATGACATAGAATTCTTACTATCGATATTTAAAAAATAAACTCCTATTCAAGTGGAGGAAGCCTAAAAGGCCATTAACTTGGTCTAAACAGGCTTCCAAACAACATGGCATCCATGAAAGAGAAAAATAAAAGAACGAAAGGACAGTAAAAGTACTGAAAAAGAAATCACTAAGAAATTGTTTAAAAAATAATAATAATATGAAAAAAGCAAATATAATAGAGAACTGAAATGCATAAATATTTCACTATATATTTATATAAAAGGAGTCCCTTAGAACCATAAGAAATGCAAAAAATTCACTGTTAATAACTCATTTTCAAATTGCCCTCCTTAAAAATCAAATTGTGCCCCATGTTGGGAACCACTGTCTTAGAACTTTCCTTTTTTGTTTGTTTTTTTGTCTTTGAAGTTAGTTTGTTTTGAAAACAAATATATGCTTTTTTTATATATATATATTTCTAGTTTGTAAGAAATATTATGTTTTCCACAATATTTATCTTTAAAAGTGTGGGTCACATACATTGACTATTTATGGGCATTATGTTTAATATGCATGTACAAAATTATTTTCCATCAGAATGTGAACATTTTTCAATAAGTCTTTAGAAGGGATTCTTGCCATAGGGAAGAAGCTGTTTTAACACTGTGATCCCCATACTATTGCCAGAAACCTTATATCTTGCATTTTTAAAAAAATATATTTTATTGATTTTTTACAGAGAGGAGGAGAGAGGGATAGAGAGCTAAAAAACGTCAATGAGAGAGAAACATTAACCAGCTGCCTCTTGCACACCCCCTACCGGGGATGTGCCTGCAACCAATGTACATGCCCTTGACTGGAATTGAATCTGGGACCTTTCAGTCCGCAGACCGACGCTCTACCACTGAGCCAAACCGGTTTTGGCATATCTTGCATTTTTATTTGATTATTGGTAGACAAAGTCTACAATTCTTGAAGAAGTTACAAGAATAAAAAGGTGGTGACAAAACATGAAGTTGATGAGAAAATACCTGAGGGAAAATTACATATAAAAGAGTTCATTGTAAAGCAGAAAAGTAGGAAAGAAATAATCTCAGAACAGAGAGTAGGTGTTTGTTTTAATTGGATAAGTTTAGTTGTATGAAAATATTTATTTTATAAAAACTTCTATTATTTTTTTCTATGAATTAGGTCTGATGAAAACTTTGTCATAGACTGGCACTGTGGCTTCCAATGCACTTTCTATTTCTTATGATTGTTATACAGAAAAGTGATTTTAAAATATATATATTAAAATATATATATATATATATTTCTTTATTGATTTCAGAGAAAAAGGAAGATGGAGAGACAGAAACATCAATGATGAGAAAGAACCATAGATCAGCTGCCTCTTGCACACCCCCTACTGGGGATCAAGCCTGCAATCTATCTGGTCATGTGTCCTTGGCTGGAATCAAACCTGGGACCCTTCAGTCCCCTAGGCTGATCCTTTATCCACTGACCAAACCAGCAAGGGCTGTAATGATGATTTCAAATAAAGCATGCAAGTTAACATTTTCAAATTTAGCCCAGCTGGCATGGCTTAGTGGTTGAGCAGCCACCTATGAACTGGGAGGTTACTATTTGATTCCTGGTCAGGACACATGCCTGGGTTGTGGGCTCGAACCCCAGTAGGGGGTGTGCAGGAAGCAAATGATTAATGATTCTTTCTCTCTTTCCCTTCCTCTCTGAAATCAATTTAAAAAAAAAATGTCAAGAACATGTAGCAAAAATTTTAAGTATTACTCAAATAAAACAATTAGTTTTCCTAAGCCATCAAAAATTTTTCAAATGTATAGTTTTACTCCAAAACAACTATTATTTAGTAAAAGTTAAATTTGATATCAGAAAATATATAGTTAAAAATATCTAATTCTCATAATGCTAAGCTTTGATATTGGCTAATCTTTGGAACAGTGTACTACATGTCAAGTGCTTTACATGTATAATTGATCTCATAAAACATGACAAGGCAAGTATTATTCTACATTTGCTTATTTGAGTATGTCTAAAGATAAAAAACTTAACAGGTAGTAAGCCTGAGTCTGAACCCAATTTTGTCTGACTCTCTCTACTATTGTAATACTGCCTCTCACTGTACTTACTAAACATAAAAATGATGTAAGCTATTTAACTTACTTAGAAGAACACACTTCAAGCAATTAAGAAGTCATTAGGCTAATCTTAGTGGGAAAGCCTATTTAAATTAAAAAGAAGTTTAAGTTTTAAAGTGCTTTTACATAAATGTACCTTTGCTTCCTTTAAGTCTATGTAATAATTTGAGGAAAGACACTGCATTTGGAAAGTACAATTTAGTAGATAGTGTTGGAATTTGTATGTTATTATTTTTTAGTGTGTGTGGCTTGCTTTTACCCCTGTAAAGTGGATTATTATTGTAGGTATTTAAATATGGTGAAAATGTTTAAAAATGTAGATGTGCAGTCATGATTTAGCCTGTCATCCATTTTATTAGCTATACAGTGGGTTTAAAACAGTTCACATTCTCTAAAGTTGTGGTCAGCAAACTCATTAGTCAAAAGAGCCAAATATCAATAGTACAACGATTGAAATTTCTTTTGAGAGCTAAATTTTTTTTTAACTTAAACTTCTTCTAATGCCCCTTCTTCAAAATAGACTCGCCCAGGCTGTGGTATTTTGTGGAAGAGCCACGCTCAAGGGGCCAAAGAGGCCAAACTCGCGAGCCTCAGTTTGTCAGTATAAAAGTATATGGGAATTATTTTCTAATCTAGAGTCTTTAAAACTACAGTATTTCCAAAGAATAGGGGAGAATTTTTCTTTGAATTTGTATTCTGGAGTTTATTATTCTTTCCTGAGTTATAGTAATACATTATATATATTGAATATTTTTAGATACATTTTGAGTTACTCCCAGTGCCCCTGGGTTTTTACATTATTGGAAGCATTCATATAAACATTTTATAAGAGTAATTTTATTTAATTTTATAGGTGGCTACAGTCAACGCCTTCCAAATGCAAGTGCCCTGGGGAAAATTTTCACTGCTTTACCTTTTGGTAACCCTATTTATCAGATGTTAGAATTAAAACTAGCCATGTACATTGATTTCCCCTCACATATGAATCCTGGGATTCTGGTTACCTGTGCAGATGATATTGAACTTTATAGTATCGGAGAATCTGAGTTTATCAGATTTGACAAGCCTGGCTTTACTGCGTTAGCTCATCCTTCTAGCTTGACTGTAGGTACCACACATGGAGTATTTGTCTTAGAACCCTCCAATTGTTTAGAATACAGAGACCTCGAATATCGGTGTTGCCATCGTTTCCTTCATAAGCCCAGCGTAGAAAGCATGTGTCTGTGTAATGCTGTGTGTAGATCTGGAAATTTTTCTCAGCAGGACTTATCTGGGGGTGACATTGCCTCTTTTAAATTTGAATCTGAGTATGTCTACACAGACAGCCTATTTTACATGGATCATAAATCAGCAAAAAAGTTACTTGCTTTTTATGAAAAAATAGGCACACTGAACTGTGAAATAGATGCCTATGGAGACTTTCTGCAGGCTTTGGGTCCTGGAGCAACCGTGGAGTATACCAGAAACACATCAAATGTCACTAAAGAAGAGACAGAGTTGGTAGACATGAGGCAGAGAATATTTCATCTTCTTAAAGGGACACCACTAAATGTTGTTGTTCTTAATAATTCCAAATTTTATCACATTGGCACAACTGAAGAATATTTGTGTCACTTTACTTCAGCTAGCAGTTTGAAGTCAGAGCTTGGCTTACAGTCCATAGCTTTTAGCATCTCACCAGCAATACCAGAATGCTTTGGTACCACACCCTGTATCATTCAAAGTATATTGGATTCAAGATGTTCTGTGTCACCTGGCTCAGTTGTGGAGTACTCCAGATTGGGGCCTGATGTTTCAGTTGGGGAAAACTGCATTATTAGTGGTTCTTCTATCATAACAACAGCTGTCCTGCCTGCATATTCTTTTGTGTGTTCCTTAAGCTTAAAGATGAATGGACACTTAAAGTATTCAACTATGGCATTTGGAGTGCAAGACAACTTGAAAAGGAATGTTAAAATATTGTCAGATATAAAGTCACTTCAATTCTTTGGTATCTGTTTCCTGTCATGCTTAGATATTTGGAATCTGAAAGTTACAGAGGAGCTCTTCTCTGGAAACAAGACATGTTTGAGTTTGTGGAATGCTCGTATTTTCCCAGTCTGTACTTCTTTGAATGATTCAGTTACAACATCCATAAAGATGTTAAATGCTGTGCAAAGCAAGTCAGCATTCAGCCTGAATGACTATAAGCTGTTGTCCATTGAAGAAATGCTTGCCTACAAAGATGTAGAAGACATGATAACCTATAGGGAGAAAATTTTTCTAGAAATTACTTTGAATAGAAAACTCTGATTTAGAGACATCTTAAATATTGCATACTTTGCCTTTCTTAATTGAGCTAGATTGCAAATATACAAGCTTTTTGTAGATGTTTTTCTTTGTTTTGTTTAATGAAAATTATATTAACATAATTGCTGCAGCATAACATCAATAACACAAAAATACCATTTTTGATAAACCATTTTTTTGAAGAAAGAATATTTCAAGGCTGTAAGTTCAGGAAAGGGATTTTTAGATGGTTATTACTATTTTAATATTTTTATAAATTAAGATGGATTTATGGAGAATTAGTTTGTTCTCATAATAATGTACTAGTTTTAAAGGTAATTTTCTAAACATACCTTTAGGTTTTCCCTTTTCTTTTGGGCTTCAGTTCCAAAAAATTTCTTAGTGCTTATTGGCAGTTCTCATCTCAGATGTAGTCATTCTACTGCTTAATAAAAATAGTATACTATCTGATCATCAGAGCACTGCAGGAATATTGTCAAAATAACATTTGCAGGGGCAGACTTATAACTGGCAAATTCAGATTAAATTAATGCTTAAAATATTGTGATAATCTTAATTGATAAGTAATGAACAACTCTGAAATTGATGCTAAAAATATCATTTATTGATTTTACCAAAAGGAAACAAAAAAGGGTATATGTATTATTTTACCCATGTAAACTTGAAAATGTGTTTGTGTATCTTAAAAATGTTCCCTAAATTTTCATCCATAGGAAAGCATACACACCCACAGAAGTCAAATATCTGTGTGGGGAAGATGGTAGGAATAATTGGGATTCACTGATGATAATAATATGTTTATTTTGAACATTATTTCATCCTCATACTAATCTCTTTAATAGAACTGTTAAATTACCAGATGGACTAATTTCACTTTTCATTTCTTATTTTCTGCCCATGCATTGGTAATGATGTTGAGAAGTAATAACCAAAAGATAGCAGAAAGGAGCCAAAAGAAAAGAAAGAGTAAAAAAATGCATAACTGATAAACAGCCTCAAGAACTAAAAACTGGCTGGTATACCAAGATATGTGTACCTGTCTATCTATCTATATATTTAAAAGCTTGATATGCAAAGTGTCCCCTTGGGAGTTTGACCTGGTATTCAATCACTTGGTATTTTGTGCACTGACCACCAGGGGGCGGTGAAGAATGAAGGAAAGCCGTGACTGGCAGCCAGAGGGCCCTGATTGGCACTAATCACTGGCCAGCCTTAGGGATCTTACCTGGGTACAGATTTCCTGCGCAGAGCCTCTAGTTTTGATATAAGTACATAAGTGAAATGTGCTCATACCAAAGTCTAATAAGAATTACAGAAAATACTTATAAGAGTTTTGTATTGTAACATGAGTAAATTGAAATAAGAACTGCTCTGTTTCACTTTTATAAATGTAGCCAATGACAAAATGAAAATAATTATTTGGTAAACCAGAAGTGACTTATCTGTAATTCTCAATTATGATATTTATGTCTTTTTTTTTTTTTTTTGGTCTTTTTTTAAAGGTTCTTTCCAAGTACAAAATAAAGATATTAATATATAGTAATTATTGTGTAGCATTTACTGATTTACTTGCACAGTTTTCAGAGGATTTTATGTTATCATTTACTAAATGTTCAATATTGTATTTCACAGTATAAACTAAATCTATAATTTTGTACAATATAAAAGGCCATCAAATATTAAGAATCACCATTATTTTATGTTCCACAAAAAAGAGAAAACACTACCAATAAAATGTTACTCAATGCTTTCTTTGTTACTTGACATTTTTATATTTATTGGTGATCACTTTTAAATGCACTTACAGATTTTTATTATTTTACTACTTACATATACATATAAAGGATCAAAATACAGTATTGAAATATAGTCAGTTATTTTCTAAAACTTCATATTCAGAGACATTTTCTTTTTCTAAAGCACTCTTCAATTGAATACTTATTGATGTCCTCACATTTCCACCTACGTAGTACCATCCTCTAAATTGTCAAATGCATTTCCTAAGTGCCTCCATTACATTACTGTCTGGGTTTTCCTTCAAGCAGTAGATTCCAGATACCTGTTTTGCAAGTTTTTGATGCTATTTGACAAAATTAAGTTTCATTTTTGCCTCAATTTAATTATATATCTAGAAGAATGTGGGTGGTTTCTTACAAATTGATGGTCACCATTTTAGGCATAATTCTGCACAATGTCTGGATTCCAACTGCTTTGAAATGTTATCTCCCAAGAAATTGTCAGTGCCTCTTGCCTTGAGATAGGTTACTTGGTATGTAGTACCATCTATATATCACCAACAGTATTCCTAATTCAGTGAAGTGATAATCCTGAGTACATATAAGTAACAAATTGGGCATTTTTTAAGATTTGTTATACAGCCCTTAAATCATACACTTTCTAGTTTTGTGAAGGATAGCTACAATGTGCAATTAAATACATTGTATAAACTTATTGATGAGTTAATAATTAATAGTGACCAAAAGGGGCATGAAAAGCAAAATCAATCTTTGGTATTAGTCTTCTAACTTAAGCATTTATTTACCAAACTAAACAAAAAGGATATGAATGTGTATCAATGAATATACTAGATTGAAATAAAAACTCAAAAATCTAAATTATATGTTTAGAATCACCAATTTTTAATGGTATTGATGCAAAATTTCAAGAACCTGCGGTGACCTATTCATCTCCTGAGGCTAAGCAATATTTCCTATGTTAGGTAAAGCTAACAAAATTGAACATAGAGCCGAAATTCAAACTTTGCCTGCTGCAAAATGTATGTATGGCTATTGCATACAGCTGGTAAATGATGTATTATAAAATACCAAGGATGCCATTTGCATACACCATGTCCTCTGGACTTGAGCAACTCAGAGACCCATAGTCTAACAGAATTAAGAAGGAAAAAAAAAATTAAAAAAATAAATTTGTTCAAAGTTATCTGAAAGATTTGTAGATGTTATTTTGGTTGTTATTTAGTTAATGAAACAGTTTCCATCTATGTTAAGAACTAAGGAATAGAGAACCAAGATGGCAGCATAAGTAAACATGATTCTCTTGCCTCCCACAACCACATCAAAATTACAACTAAAACACAGAACAACCATATTCAGAACCACTTGAAAGCTGGCTAACTAGAAGTCCTCCAAGTAGAGAAGAAGAAAGTTAATCGAGACTGGTAGAAAGGGGGGGGGGGGGGGGGGCAGAAGAGTGGAACCAGCTGGTCTGGCATCCACATGTGGAATTTTTTTTTAATTGAGAGGGATATCTCCACTGCAGAGGCCTCTTGTGAGAAGCAAGGAGTCTCAGCCCCATACTAGATGCCGGGGATAGGGTTCCAGAGCTGTGAAGAGAAGTCCCCATAATTTTGGGTTGCAAAAGCCAGCAGGGATTATAGCAGAGTGACTGGAGGTTACTGGAGACCCAGGCAGTTCCTCTTAAAGGGCCAGCACATGAACTTTACTTGGATTCACTTTCTCTGGGTTCCTGCACTAGGCAACAGCTTTGGAGAATCTCGGGAGATATGGGGAGGAACTGGATTATCAGGAACTCAGGGGCAGCTTATTCCAGACAGGGGTGCTTGCAGGGGTCATTGTTCCTGTACTGGAGCATCCCTCATCGCAGAGATGACTGGCAGCCATATTTGGGTGTCCATCAGCCTGGTTCACACTGTTTGCTCCATTCTGATGATTCCCTGAGACCTTACTCCATTCAATTTGCAGCCCCATCTAATCTGTTTGCATCTGCTTTTCCATATGAATAGCCTATCCTGAATCAGGCTTCAGGCTTTACTAAGATCTCTTAAATAGGCATCAGCATGCCCATACCTATTAATAACAGGCCCAAGACCTGGCACTAGCACCAGCCTGCCTTGATTCACAGCTTGGCTTTGCCTGAGCACATCCAAGCTCAGTACAAGTAGCAGCCATCTGCAGATCCTTCTGTAGCTCCTGGTAGGTGGCCCCAGGCAGTGGCTGACTGCACCTCCTGGGAGACACTGCGCCAGTGAACCCAGTGAACAGCTTCAGACCACACCAGATTACAACTTGACTACACCCATGAGTGATATGCTCAAGGGACAGAGTTAGCACCAAAGCCCCACTGAAGCAAGTCCTGCTCTGTAGATGCATCTCCTGCACAGCATCTCTTCCACTGTAGTTGAAGTTGTTCCTCACAACCAATTAGCCTGGAGGTCAGTATCTTCCTGTGATTCCGACAACAGTCAAGGCTCAACTACAACAAGACTGTACATACAGCCCACACGGGTGCACCTAGAATATCCTGCTCACATGATTTGGGAGGCTGAACCACTTGGTCCTACAGGGCACCTACTACACAAGGCCACTACCAATTCCAGGAGACATAGCTACTCTTCCTAATACCTAGAAACAAACACAGAGGAACAACCAAAATGAGGAGACAAGGAAACAGGTCACAAATGAAAGAAATGGAAGCAAACTACTGGACACAGAGTTCAAAACAATGGTTACAATGCCACTCAAGGATTCTAATGAGCTTCAAGGAACCTAATGAGAGCTTCATGGGACTTAGTGAAACTTTTAAGATAGTAATGAGAATTTCAAAAACATGAAAAAGGACCAGTCAGAAATTAAGCATACACTTACTGAATTAATAATTTATAGGGACTCAACAGTACAGTATTACAAGAATATGAGGAAGCAAAAACACAATCAGAAGAGCTAAAAGTAAAAATAATAAAAAATATAAAGATAGTATAAGGAGTCTCTGGGATAAGAAATATAATGAACAAAATAAACTAATGAATAAAATAGAACCAAAGGCATGGAAATATGGAACGGATTCACAAATCTCAGAGGGTAGGGAGGAAGGGTGGTGGGAAGAGATTAACCAAAAATCTTATGTGCATATATGCATTACCTAGGGACAGGGACACAGACAATAGGGTGCTGAAGGCCTGGTGTGGGGTAGAAACTGAGTAGAGGGAAGCAAGGGGGGGGGGGGGCGGGGAGTGAAGGAGACAT